AACCGGGAACACAAACTTCTTTGTGACTAGCTAGTAGCTACTGCATTTCTCTGCTTGCTTACCTTGTCCTCCCTGTGCCCTCCCTGTGCCGACCAGCTTTCTCCAACTGGTAGAAAAGCTGGCCTGGGTCTCACAAGTATTCTTTCCTGGGGCTTCAGCCCCTCAATACGAGGGAGGCCTGTCTGCTGCTCTAGGTCTCTTTGGTGGGTCCCGCAGAGGTATGGTTCTCATAGGACTGTTGCCCTTCCCATTAGAGCTGTGTTAAGGGTGTGTGTCAGGGTGGGGGCAATTGCCAGGAGGAGGTGGTGCTGGAAGCAGTATACAGCCGGCCCTCGTGTATCGCGGTTCCTCCGTTCCAGACTCCACCCTGATCAATGCATTTCCGCGAAGTAGGGTTCTTTATGCACAGTCGTCCCTGCCACTTCGCGCTTCCACTCCCACAGCCTCACTATCGCGGTTTTTTCAAATACTATACTATATTTGAAAAAAATACACACACACACACACTATTTGAAAAAACCGCGGTACAGTGGAAGCGCAAAGTGGCGAGGGACGACTGTAGAGTGACCCCATGACCTTCCCACCTGTGAGGATTGTTGGGGTTCTCATCCTCCTATCTGATTTGTTTAGGTGTCCATGATATACGTCTGATGGACTTCTTGGTTATTTGTCTGCTCTGAGGCCACATATTTCCTCCTATTCTTATGCTGTCTTTTAGCCCTCACTTCAGCCTTAGAAGCAGGCTCCATCCTAGCTTCTCTGGCCATAGATATCCTCAGGGTCCAGAGGGGTCTGTAAAGGACTGGAGCACAGGATCCCAAAGGAATCCACCCCTAACTAAAAAGCCACTGCACTTAACCTTCACTCAGCAGTCCCAGAAATACAGAAGGAGGGACTGGAATGTTTGCTACCCAGGGGTGGAATCTTGATCTGCTTTGTTAATCTGCTTTCGGTATTTGTTGATTGGGTAACATTTTGCTTTATCTCATCATTCTCAGTTTGTTTACATTGTGGCCTTTGCATGCCGCCTCCTCCCACCAGTGTCCTCACCCCCAGTCATATTCTTGTTTCCCTAATTTCCTAGAAGAAACTGGAGTAGCCTATAGGAAAGAGGTTTGAAAGTACAGCCCAGCTATTAATTTATGAGTGGTATTTTTTAACCATAGTTCAAGAGTATATTTTTTATAACTGGTTTAAAAATATTTTTCTGGCCCTGGCCAGTTTGGCTCAGCAGTCATCGGCCTGCAGACCAAAGGGTCTCAGGTTCTATTCCCGGTCAAAGGTACATACCTAGGTTGCAGGTTTTGCCCCGAGCCCCAGTCAGGGTTGTGCGAGAGGCAGCCTATCGATGTGTCTCTCTCACATCAGTGTTTCTCTCTCTCACCCCTTCCCTCCCTTCTACTCTATCTAAAAATCAATGGAAAAAGATCCTCAGGTGAGGATTAACAAAAAAAGAGAAAAATAAAATAAAATAAATAAAAATATTTTTCTGTCAAGGCAGCCATTTATACCTTAATGTCTGTAATGCCTCACACATAACAGGGTCTTGAAAAATATGTTGAATAAACTTGGAAGTATTTTAATTTATCCTTACCAGAAAGGAGGATGAAAGGGACTAGACAGGCATTTCACACTGGAGTAGGAGCTCTTGGGAGACAGAGGAGCTGTGATGACCATCTCTCACTGCAAAAGAGGCCCGGGCCATTGCTCTCTACACATAGAAATTATTTGACTCTGAAGAAAATGATGGAAGTACCTTATTTTACTGTACACCATACATGTTGATTTCCTGATATACTTTGCCTGTTAGACTTAGGATATCTCCTTGGCTGTGTTACCTATTTCTACCTGAGCAAGAAAAGTGACATATTAGTTCTTGCAGTATTTAACACATTTGTCATGGTAGTAAGGTTAAAAGCCATACTGTACTCTCACACTAAAATTAGCAAGTTATTTTTTCATGTTCTTCATCTTCCATTTTAGGGAAATGGAAAAAATTAGGGGTATTCTTCTTCTCTTTTCTTTCCCCTCTGTCCCATCCTCCTTACCCCAAATAATTAGATAAAAAATAAAGGAAAAATAGAAAAAAATAAAATGATTCCTGGAGCAAAACTAATACACAAATAAAATAAATGCATGTCTTTTATACTGAGTAGGTGAGGACCACACATTTGGCTTTGAATTTGACTAGCCAGAACGAAGAAGAAAGCAAGATCAATTCCTAAGACTGTGTTCGTGAAATAAAAAACAAACCAGCCACTTAGGAGAAGCATAATTTTTCCAGGACTTGGGACCCGGCGGATCCTTTGTAATGCAGTCTCTGGTCCTTAGTTTACTTGTCTCTTCAATTCTCTATAGAGTCTGCAAAAGTGAAGTATCTGAGTTCAAGTTTAAGGTATTAGTACAAGACATAAACAATAATACAAGGCTGGAGTGCAATTTAATCATTACTTTTTCGATGCTCTATACTTATTCATACCATTGAACTTCTTATTATAACTGGTACCAGAGAAGTCCAGATAACCACTCTGCTTTAGCAATTAGCTGAGCTGGTGGTAGCAGTATAATATTTGCCTTTGAAAATTGAAGAGCTGAACCAGGACTGCATTTTTTTAAAATATGTTTTTATTGTCCGGCTGTTGTGGCTCAGTGGTTGAGCATCAGCCCATGTACCAGGAGGTCGCCGGTTCCATTCCCAGTCAGGACACATGCCCAGGTTGTAGGTCCGTTGTAGGTCCGATTTCCCAGTGGGGGGCATGCAGGAGGTGGCCAATCGATGTTCTCTCTCATTGATGTTTCTCTTTCTCTCTCCCTCTTACTTCCTCACTCTCTAAAAAATCAATAAAGGGAAAAAAATTAAAATATGTTTTTATTAAGTTCAGGGAGAGGGAGAGAGAGATAAAAACATCAATGAGGAGGGAAATATCTATTTACTGCCTCCTTCACACCCCGTACTGGGGATCAAGCCAGCAACCTGGATATGTACCCTCACTGGGAATTGAACTGGTGTCCTCTCAGTACACAGGATGATTGATGCTCATCCAGCTCACCCATACCACCCAGGGCATCATGCAGACATTTAATGGATAGTGTATTATATCATAAAGTATAGTTTTTTAAAATTTATTAAATTTCTGACATAGAAGCCCAAATGTGAAAAACTGATGGAAGTGAGGTGTTTGGGCTGGAGAGGAGATGGACCCTCACCTGCTCCAGACCTTATAGCAAGTTTTAAAAGCCACTGTCCAATTCATGGCTAATGTCATTTTAGTCTGGAAAAATTTCAAAGCCTGAATCACCAGTCTCCCACTTTTAAGTAACAAGCTCAATCTATGCACTCCACTATGCTCAAGAACACCTATAGAAAACCTAATTTTAATTAACGTTAACTTCCTGTTTGAACTAGTAAGATTTTAACAGGTTGGTAACATGGTTAACAATAACCTCAACATTTGGGAGATCAGGTTAAAAACCAAGAAGGTAGATTTTTGAGACCTGCACAGAAATGATGTCTATGTATACGCATTTTTGCAGAATACAGAACACTTCCACAAATATTTTGTTTAGTCATCACATTCACTTGAGGTAGTAGCATTCTGCTGAAATAGTAAAGGAAAAATGAAATGTCATGTTCAAAATTTTTATAGGAGGAAATAAGTTTTTAGTGTAAGTAAATGTATCCATTGTAGCTCTTCTGAATGCTTTGGGGCCTCTACCTAAAATTTAACTTTGTATACTCCCTTGGATATAAGATGTGTTTGTTGTGCATTTTAGATACAGCTTTCAGATTTAAAAGCAAATTTTCCCTTGTTGTGATGTCAGCACTCACCTGGAAAGCACCCTCCATAAAGTGTGGAATGTTCTTCCAGCAATAAATGAAGGCATGTGGTTACTCTGTAAACAGAACTGGGTTTATGGTAGTTTTTCACCACCTTCTGCCTTCCTTCTTGCTCAATACTTTATTACCCCACTAAAGTTTGGTGAAATTACAAAATAATTTTTGTTTCCTTATGATTGTTTAGATTGTTGCATACAGCTCTCTAGTCAATTATAATACATTTTCTGACTCTTATCCAAATGTATTCTGTATACAAAACACAGTTCAAGAAGCATCTCTTGCCCTGGCTGGTTTGGCTCAGCGGTTGGAGTGTCGGCCTACGGTGCAGAGAGACCCGGGTTCGGTTCCCGCTAAGGGCATGTACCTCGGTTGCAGTTTGTCCCCGGCCCTGGTTGGTCGTGCGGGTGGCAGCCACTCGATGTGTCCCTTCACATCGATGTTTCTCTCTCTCTCTCTTCCTCTCTCTCCCTCCCACTCTGTCTGAACAAAAAAATGGAAAAATGTCCTCGGGTGAGGATAAAAAAGAAAAAGAAAAAAAAGAAGTATCTCTTCTGTTGAAGTCTGAGGCCTTCAGTATAGGATGCCCAATCTATCCTCCGAATTTGCTACCCAGATCACTTTTTTTGGGTTCTCTTTCACAGTCTGGTGGCATGCATTAGTCTTCTGTAGATTTCAGTCTTCCTGTGTGTGTGCGCCTTGTCTCACGTCACAGCTGTATTCAAAGTCCTGGAACAACTCCTAGTGAATGTGCACCACACGATGAAACACAACCACATCTTTTGGTCCGCAAGCTAAGTTTTGGCTATAGAATTGGGAACTTTTTTCCTCCAAAAGTGCAAGCTAGAACTTTGATATTTGATCATGTCATTCATCTGACAAATGAGTTTCAGTTACTTCTTCCAAAATGAAATCTTTTATTTATTTATTTGCTTTTTTTTTTTTTTTGCATTTTTAATTGCATTTATTGGGGTGCAACTGGTTAATAAAATTATATAGGTTTTAGGTGTATAATTCTATAATGCATCATCTGTATATTGTGTGTTCACCACTCCAAGTCTCCTTCCATCACTTGTTAAAATGGTTTTTAACCTGCTGTTTAAATTCTTTACCTCTGAGTAGTAAGCCAACTATGTTTATTCTTAACTTAAATACCTCTTTCAAGGAACAACTCTCTGAAGAGCCACAGATCTTCATTTTAGAACACCTACTGTGTGCCAGAAACTGAACTGCAATGATGAACAAGATAAACAGGTCACTGTCCTCATGGAACTTAGTTGATATAAATATATTATTTCAGGTGTGAACAGTCCAGTACAAAGTGGATAGGATTATCACCTCATTCACCAAAATGAAATCTTTTATAGCCTCATTATTTCATTAGAATTTTTCTCAACCCAGAATCAGGATTCCGTATGCCAGTTAGTGTGTCAGCATGGAGGGGTGGACAGGATACATTGACTGTTTAGAAGTCTCAGAAAAATCCTCCCTGGGTACAATGTTCCACGTGATTCTCTACAGGGCCATGTAATTGTTTATTCTGTGACTCTAAATACTTCTGCTGGAAAAAGTCTATTTACACTAAATAGCACCACAAGGTGGCCTTTGAGCAGTTTAAAAAGAAAACAAACCTTCAAATCTCCAACTATGGTGCTTTAGCTTAGGCTGGTTTGTGGCATGTTGGTGCTTTTGTGGGCGTTTAGCCAGAGCAGAAATAGCAGCTGGGACCTTGAAGGAGAGTTATTTTCCAGGTTTACATCTGATCCTCTAGAAATGAGTTTTAAGATTGTAAATTTAAAAAAGAAAATTGTTTTACAGAATACTCTATGGTTCTTCATCGGCATGACTAAAAGGAAAATATTAAAAATCATTTCACCTTTTCAGGTATAACCTTTTAGAACCACAGCATTTTCTTTTTTAATTTGTCTTATTTGACACATAAAATGTTTTCTAATGGCTTTTTTTTCATATTTGAACTTTGTTTCAAATTTGTCATTTATTTACAGTTAATGTTTGAGCTATGCATTCTTTTTAAGGAGTTATCTTTTTTTTAATGGAAAAAAGTTTAATAAGAGTTAAAATTTACATTACAGTAAATAATTAAATTCAAATAGCCTTCTCTTGAACATCCTTCTTGGATAAAATTGTGGTGTTTTATTTTCTAGTTTTCCTTGTTGATTTTTGGTGCAGGGAGAAAATACATATTGTATGTGTTTACACTCACCCTAGATTGCTAAACTATATTCTCCAGTAATTCTTTCAAAGAGGGTACACAAGAAATAAACTTTCTGAATTCTTGAATATCAAAAAATATCTTCGCTTTACCCTCAAAATCAAATGCCAGTTTGGCTGGATATAGGATTCTAGGTTTAAAGCCTTTTTTTTCTGCCTGCAGAACTGTTATGAGACTGCCCCATTGACTTCTAGCATCCAGAGGAGTTATCTTTTTTAAAGAGCAGAATTGGCTATTTGCTTTTCTTATTTACCAAATGTGGGCGAGGCCATGTTTACTCATGATCATATTGGCTATGTTTACATAACCTTGTGGCAAAGTGAGTAGTAAATGTAACAAAGAAAAATGGATTTATAATTTCATCCATGAAGATTAAAGGCTTCTCACATTTTAAAATAGACATTAACCATTCATATTGTTAAAATACAGTGCTGATTTGTAAAGAAATAGTTTAAATTCATGTTTTGAAACCAGTTCTAAAACTATGATAATGTAACTTTAAAAAATATATTTTTATTGATTTTTTTTTTTCCTTTGAGAGGAAGGGAGAGAGAGAAACATTGATCAGCTGCCTCTTGCATGTCACCTACTGGGGATCAAGCCAGCAACCTGGGTATGTGCTTTGACCAGGAACTGAGCTGGCAACTCTTCTGTGCAAGGGACAGCACCCAACCAACTGAGCCACACCGGCCAGAGTGATAATGTAACTCTTAATTCCTTAGAGTATCTGTGAATGAATCAGTGAAGATTAAATAAAGATGGCAGATCTATATTGATAAAGGGCCTTTACAATACTCACAGAAACTAGTTAACTAGTTATGTATTACAGATGTTTCTAAATACTGCTTTGTAATATGTAACTATAATTTCAAGTCTTAACCACATGCTGAAATCTTTTTGCCTTGTGATAATTTGAGAAGTTCACCATTGTGAATAAGATTGCTGTCATTAATAAAAGAGCTACTCAAATTTATTTTAAATGTTTTCAAATTGCAGGTTCCATCCTATCAGTTGGTTGTGAAGTCAGCCTAGCCCTGACCAGTGTGGCTCAGTTGGTTGGAGTGTCATTCCGTGCACTGTAGGGTCTCAGATTTGATTCCTAGTCAGGTCACATAACCAGGTTGCAGGTTCAGACCCCAGTCAGGGCACATCCAGTAGGCAACCAATCAGTGTTTCTCTCTCACATTGATGTTTCTCTCCTCCTCTCCTTTCCTCTATCTTTAAAATCAATAGAAACATATCATCAGGGGAGGATTAAACAAACAAAAATCAGCCTACTGGGCTCTGACTAGCATTTTTAAAGGGAGGGAAGGGAACAAGGGACTAGGATAGAAGGGCACAGAATAGAGAATTTCAGTGTGATTTTACATAGTAAGGATAAGTGCTGTTTGGTGATACTTTGTGTGTTGGGGGGGGTTATACTTATTTTTTATATATGAATATATGTATCTCATGAGATCAGAAATCTTTAAGCCATCACTGCTAGTGGTGATGCAGTTAGGTGGCTTGGTGTCCTTGTGGTTGTTTATTTATTTATTTTTTATCCTCACTCGAGGACATTTTTCCATTTTTTGTTCAGCTATAGTGGGAGGGAGAGAGAGAAAGAAACATCAACGTGAAGGAGACACATTGAGTGGCTGCCTCCCGCATGAGGCAACCGGGGCTAGGGACAAACTGCAACCGAGGTATGTGCCCTTAGTGGGAACTGAACCCGGGTCCCTCTGGACCGCAGGCCGACACTCTAACCACTGAGCAAAACCAGCCAGCGCCTTTGTGGTTGTTTAAATGACTATACACACAATAGAGATTCATGGTAGGCTTTAACGGAAAGCTTCTGTATTTGTGCATTTAACAGGGAGTAAAGGAAGACCTGTGTGATTTGCTGATCAGATTTGCAGTGGACAGGAATCTGGTAGGGAGCACTAATAATACACTGGACAACAGAGTCAAGATTTAAGAAAAAAATTTAATGGCATACTGTATAGTGAATCTAAACCAGAAGCAAGTAAATAGAAATAATTGTTCAGTCCTGCATGTATGTCCCAAAGTACAATAGTAAATAATAGGTGGAGATGTGGTTCACTAATGGAGTATGTGGAGAAGACGTAAATCAAGTAGTTTAATAGAAAACAGCCATGTAGTGTGACTATCACAACTATTAATGGAATTTAAAACTATATTTATGAAATACAGGGATAGGTAGTCCTGGCTGGTCGGTTCACATATGAAGTATAGGGACCAATTTGAAATAACACTCTTAAAAGGGGATGGTGACAAGCTGGGATGCCTGGGGGATAACTGAGGTGGTCCTGCGATGGAATCAGTTCCCCCAAGGTTCATTTTTTAAGTCTGTAACCAGAGCACAACTGGATAAGTTTTATATGAATTCAGTCGCCAACTATGCTAATTGTACAGATTGAATACGAATGTACAGCTCTTGCTGTCAGGCAGTTCACAGGCTATTGTGGTGCTGGTAATTTATATATTAACACATTTGATTGCACTGTTCAAAATGCTCTAAGTTCTCTCTACAGCACACCTCTCATTTTCTAGTTACTCCAGTACTGGATGTCTCAGTGCTTAGGATATGAGGATATAGGTCTACCGCAAAATAATCCTACCTGATGCTCACTAAAATTGCTGACCAGGATTGATAGTATATTCTGTCATCTTATTTCTAAACCTGGTATTTGCCTCTGGCTTGGTTTGGACTGGGATGAAGTCTCAGAATAGGAATTCTGTCACATACCAGTTAGAATGCATTTCTGAAAGGCATGTCTATAAATTCATTTTTAAAAATATTCTCAAGTCATAGACCTGTAATTTTGAAAAATGTATGAAAAAATTTATTTAACATTATACTTATTTAACATGTATTTAAGTACAGTTGCCACATATGTAGAATATATTCTCCCCCTACCCAATAACTTAATTTTTTGGTGGCTAACTGGAGAAAACTCATGAATTCATGTTATAGCGATTTCTTGATTGACTTTGTTTCACAACTCAGCATTGCTAGTGTGAAAGTTAGATACTTTGTCAAACTGGATAATACAGTGAGTTTTGTTAAATTAGATTCTATTAGACCTTATTTCAGAAAAAGATATACCATTGTTTAATTGTAAAAGTCTGATATCTATAAATATGAATTCCTGCATTCATATTCAACATGCAGTTACAAGCCTGAGAGAAAATTCAAAATTCGTGAAAAAAAGATTACAGATAAAGCTGTAAGAAAATGAAAACCTCATCCATTAAGTGACATAGTTGAAATGCAAGTGGCAAGCTAGGAGAATATATTTGAAAAAAATAAAATAACAGCCAAAGGGGATAATACTCAGAATTATACAATATCCTATATATAAATCTATAACAAAGACTCCAACCCTAGAAGACTAATGAGCAGTGCAGATGTATAGGTAATATTACTGCATGAAGTACTGTGGATAATAGACATGAAATGGATAATAGACATGAAACTGTGTTCATTGTCATCAGTGATCAGCAATTCAATTGAAAAGAATGGAATTGATAAGAGGGATGGGAAGAGCTAGAGTTGAAGAAAGTAGCATTTTTAATCAAACAGACTGGCAAAAATCAAAAGAAAGGATTAATAGGACCTAGTGTTGATTAGCTGTTAAGGAAATGGCTGCCGCATACACTGTTGATGGCAGTGCAAATTGGCATGAGCCTTTGGTACAAGTTAAGAATCTTTATGTTTTGACTCTCAGACTGATATCTTAACCTAAGTCACTCAGAATCTTCTGTGCTCTTTTTTTTTTTTAATCCTCACCCGAGGACATTTTTTCCATATTTTATTCAGATAGAGTAGGAGGGAGAGAGAGAGAGAAGCATCGAAGTGAAAGAGACACATCGAGTGGTTGCCACCTGCACGACCCAACCAGGGCCGGGGACAAACTGCAACCGAGGTACATGCCCTTAGCGGGAACCGAACCCGAGTCTCTCTGGACCGCAGGCTTCTTGGCTCTTTTTATTCTGGTATCTGGTATATAGAACTACACAGACTATTGTGTGGTCTTTTTGTGTCTAGACCAGCCCTTGTTTAGTCATTATTTATGAAAAATTGCTTTCTAAGGTGGGCAGGTCAGGGATCATTGCTTAGGTTTTTTTATAAAGATGAAGAACTGACACATGTTCAGTGACTGTCCTGAGTCAGATAGTGGAGAGAAATACAAGGAGTTTCTTTACCTTCACTAATTTTATATGACTTCTAGAACAACTGGCCTGGTACCTTAAGACAAAGTAAAGCTTGGCATGTCCTGCACAGAAGGGAAGAAACATAAGTAACACATTAGAAATAAGACCCAAAGCCTATGACCTGAGTATTTTTGCTGAAATAGTTACAAAACAGTCTGACCTTTGGAGGAATGCTGCAGTAACCTGCTGCTGACTCAAAAGAGTTTTATTGATCCAATAATTTCACTATGAAGAATTTTTTTTGTTTTTGTTTTTGCTTGTTTTTTAATCCTCACCTAAGGACACGCTTAGATTAAGGGAGGGCGGGAGGAGACAGAAACATTGTTCGGTTGCCTTCCAAACACACCCTGACCGGGGATCAAACTTGCAACCCAGGTATGTGCTCTGACCAGGAATCAAACCACCAACGCTTCAGTGCATAGAATGACGTTCTCTTCCAATTGAGGCACTCCATCAGGTAAAGAAATATTTTTTAAATGTTGTTTAAACTTATAAGAATGAAGTCATACAGCTCTGATACATGATACATTCTTACAAAAATGGAGTTAACAGCTCACATAACATATATATAGGTACATTTAGCTCCAGGATCGTGGAGAATGTTTCACTAACAATAGTTGACCCTCACCCACACCTCTAAATTCTGAAAATGTTAAAAAGATTTGAAGTCTCTGAAAGTACCTCTTGTGTTTTGTTTTGTGTTTGTTTTTTCAGTGTTTTGGGGGCGGGTGGGAATGCAAGCATATACCTAAATGAACTTTGTTTTAGTTTAAGATAGCATTTTCCCAAAGGATGGAAAAGCTCATGGTCACTCAGACCTGTGCATGTGTTTTGGGAGACTTGGTTGGGACTAGGAAATAGTATACAGTATCCTATCCTGGTGCTCTATGCAAATATATTTCTGAGATTTAATAGGAAAGGATCTCAGGTTGTCAATAGTGAGCAATAAAGATCCTTTCAAAAGCATTTAAAGTCCGTCTGGTGTGGCTCAGTGGTTGAGCGTCAACCCATGAACCAAGAGGTTGCCAGTTCGATTCCTGGTCAGGACACATACCCAGGTTGTGGGCCTAATCTCCGGGGGGGGGCATGGAGGAGGCAGCCAATTGATGTTCTCTCTTGTTGATGTTTCTCTCTCTCTCTTCCTCTCACTTCCTCTCTATAATCAAGAAAGGGAAAAATATATTTTTTTAAAGCATTTAAAGCAGAGATATGAGTCAATTTTGTTTTTTAGTGGTAGGGTCATTGAAGGGTACCCTTTTTCATATTTATTTAACTCACAATCTTAGAAATTGCCTTTTGCCTATTTGATCAGAATTTTTAAATCAGTGGTTTTTAAAAGTCACTCAGTAAATATTTATTTGTGGTTACTGTGTTTGATAATTAAACCATACTTTTATATCACATATATTTGTAATACTTGGACAAATACTTACAAAGAGTAGAATTTGAGTCAAGAGACTGCCTTGAGTCCTGATACACACTCAGAATGGGAGTGAAATGGAAAGTCATTGGGGAAGGATTGAGCAGAGAAGTGACGGTGCTTTGTAAGGTGGAGTGCATGACAGATCTTACACTAGTTTATGTACTGCTACTACCACCTAGACTGTGAAAGAGTGTCAGTGTGATTCCTGTGTAGTATCCACTGCTGAACATCGTTGGCCTCAGAAAGTCCAGTCAGTTTGGCTCAGCAATTAGAGAGTCAGCACGTGGACCAAAGAGTCTTAGGTTCGATTCCCAGTCAAGGGCATGTACCTCCAGTCATGCAGGAGGCAACCAATTGATGTGTCTCTTACATCTGTGATTCTCTCTCTCTCTCTCCCTCCCTCCCCCTCCCCCCCCTCTCCCCCTTTCTTCCTCCCCCCTTTCTCCATTCCACTCTATCTAAAAATCAGTGGAAAAAATATCCTTGGATGAGGATTTAAAAAAAAAAGATATATTAATTGCAAAACACACTCCAAAGTCTTAAATGCTCTTGAACACTTAATTTTGGTTTTGACATAGTTGATGAACTATGTATTTGCTAGCTGTGGTAATTAACCAAAGATTCAGTTGCTGCTTAAAGCTCATGGTTTATTTTAATGGAACTATCACTGCATCTTATTTGCAGCTAAGAAGAGCATGTATCCTGCCCTGGCCAGGTGGCTCCTTTGGAGCGTTGTCTCATGCACCAAAAAGGTTGCAGGTCCGATTCCGGTCAGAGCACATACCTAGGTTGTGGGTTTGATCCCTGATTGGAGCACATATAGGAGGCAACTGATCAGTGTTTCTTTCTCTCTCTTCCTCTCTTCCATTCTCTAAAAATAAGTAAAACCTATCCTCTAGTGAGGATTTAAAAAAGAAGAAAAAGAACATGTATCCTATCCATCCAAAAGCCGAATCAAACTTTTATTTATTTTTTTAATCTTTACCTGAGGATATTTTTCTATTTATCTTCAGATAGAGTGGGAGGGAGAGAGAGAAACATCGATATGAGAGGGACATCCCAACTGGTTGCCTCCCACATGACCCCAGCCAGAGCCGGGGAGGAACTGCAACTGAGGTACGTGCCCTTGACCGAAATTGAGCTATGACTTTGGTCCGTGAGCCAACACTCTAACCGCTGAGCCAAACCGGCCAGGGCCCGAATCAAAAATTTTAGATGCAGAAATGAGAGAAAAAAAAGGGAAGGATAAGCTCATGCATTTTATATTGCTGTTCAGTCTGTTTAGATACCTTTTTTAAAAACAAAAAAATCTGTTTTGGTTCTGGAAATAGTGGTCATGAATCAGATTTTAGAAAGAGAAAACTCCACATAAGTGTTCTTTACTACTATTTATTCAGATTTTAACATAGGCATATGTACTTCAAACACATGTCATTTTTATTACCAGGTCGTAAGGTAGCTGTTTTTCCCATTAGAGATAACGAACGTGGGCTTATAAAAGTGTAAGTCAGTTTAGGCATGGGTGAAGTCAGGATTTGAGCACAGGTAATCTTTAAAGCCCACGTAATTAACTACTGTGCTTTATGTAATTGTCCTGCACTAGAATATGAATAGTCTAGTGCACCTAACACAATATCTGGCGTGTTGTAGATACTTAGCATTTATTCAAAATTTCACACTTTTTATGACTGCTTAATTAAGTACCTTAATAATTCTTGTATGCAACAATCTTCCTATTGTATGTGGGGTTTTTGTTTGTTTGCAGTTTTTGCATTTGCCCACCCAAGTTTATGAGTTGGATTTAACATGTTAGTGTTGAGGCCTATGAATTCAACTGCCTAGGAATGTGTTCTCATTCAGCAGCTTTTCATTATTGTCTCTAAACACTTACACCTACTCCACAAACTCCAGAAAGTTGTCTTCTTTAGAGCAGGTACTCTTGATTCCTGAGTTTGGCATACATATGTGAGTGCACAGTTGGTATTTGAATGAATGTCCTGATGACCTTTCAGCATTTAACTACTTTTCAGTATTTGTCTATATAGGTGAATAGAGTTAGAGTTAGGAGTATGTTGCACAAGCCTAAAGCAATCAGATTGCCTATGGGCAGTGCCTAACAGTCTGAACTCTAATGGTGTTAGACTTTGATTTTCCCAGTGGGTTTTCTTAATGTTCTCCAGCACTTTCATGGGGTGGAGCTACTTGTACTTTTAGGAGTATTAATGTAACAGAGCAGTGACTTGAAATTTTTGTACTTTCTAAGATGGAAGTGACCATTTTTAGTATCATCAGGTCTTAACCAGTTCTGGAGAAAGGGCTGTACTCCCAGTGCAAAAGACCACAAATGTAGAGCATAAGTAATAAGAAGGAGACTACATACCAAACTGTTAATACCAGTTGACTCCATAGGCTTTGCAGGTGATTTTCACTTTTTATTTTGTGTAATCCCTTAATGTTTGAATTTTGCACAATAAACAACATAACCGCCCTGGCTGGTTTGCCTTAGCGGTTAGTGTCGGCCTGTGAACCAAAGAGTCTCAGGTTCAATTCCGGTCAAGGGTACGTACCTCGGCTGTGGTTCGGTCCATGGCCCTGGCTGGGGTCTTGCCAGAGGCGAACGGTTGATGTGTCTCTCTCACATCAATGTTTCTCTCTCCCTCCCTCCTTCCCTTCCTCCCACTCTGTCTGAAGATAAATGGGAAAAAATATCCTTGGGTGAGGATTAATAAAAACAACATACCTATTTTTTAAAAGCTAGAAGTTTAACTCTCAGTTATGAATATAGATAGCCTTTTATCATTCTGACCCCCAATCCACCCCTCTCCCCTCAAGGATGTAGACGTTAACAGAAGGCAGTAGCACAAAAAGCATGCTGGTTTTGGTTTATTTTTTCTTTTAATAATGATTTCAGTGGTCAGTGAATGTGATGATCATTGACAACGAAATTTTCCAAAATGTCCCCTAGGGATGATATTGGCCCCATTGACAACAATCCCTGCCCTATGTGGGAAATAGTGAAGATCTACATACTTGGTATCTGCAGGGATAGAGATATTTAGAAAATAGAATTGACTAAAATTGTGAACTGATAATAATAGAGTTAACACCTGGAGAGTCTGGTATGATGACCAAATTTTGTGACTGGGTGAACAAGGGATGTGTTTGCTCTGAAGGGAAGCAGAAGAAGAAGCAGGGCTTGGGGGTGAGGTTTGAGTTCCTGGAGCACGTCTATAAGGAGTAGCAGTTGGAAATGTAGGCCGATTGGTTGGGACAGGAAATAGATTTCAGGTTGTTGAAACCATGGGTAGATGAGATCACTCAGAATATAGGGTAAAAAGACAGCCAAGGGTAGAACCTTGAAGGACGTAAGGATGAGTCATTGAATTGAATGCAGAAAGAAAGCGCATTTGGAGAGACAGGAATACAATTAGAGGAGAGCAGTGAATGAAAGCTAAGAGGTGAGCAGTGGTAAATAGCCCTGCAAATTTTTTTCATGAAGACTTAATTCCATAAATGTCTGTTTTAATATAAAAATATGTTAAATTATTCTCCACTCCTGCCCTCCCCACTCACCTCCCAAATTTTCAGGTTAACTTTGTCCTCCAAGGCTTCTTTTTCTTTGGGATTCAGATGTACACCACTGCTTACCATCAGGAGCATGCTTCCCTCCAGTTTGAGAAATGCTGTATGGGTTTCCAAGCCCTCTTTAGAATCCTAACAGTGGCTGGTTCTCTCCCAGTTGCATTAATAATTTTGGCTCAGCCCAAGGAGTTCTGCTGAGGTTTATTATGAACCAAATTTTTTGAGGGGGAGGGGGACAGGATAGGGGAAAATTCATTGTATTTGAAAGCTAGACGAATTTTTTCAATTATTATATGTATTTTTGTCCATTTTCTTTTCTTTTTTTTTTTTATCCTCACCTGAGGACATTTCTTGTTCAGGTAGAGTGGGAGGGAGAGAGAGGAAGAGAGAGAGAGAGAGAAACATCGATGTGAAAGGGACACATCGAGTGGCTGCCACCCGCACGACTGACCAGGGCCGGGGACAAACTGCAACCAAGGTACATGCCCTTAGCAGGAACCGAACCCGGGTCTCTGAGGACCGCAGGCTGATGCTCTAACCGCTGAGCCAAACCGGCCAGGGCTATTTTTGTCCATTTTCTAACTAAACTCTAGTTATGCCCAAAACATAGTTTAGGCAGTTTTAAAACACTATTATGGAAAATATTTGAACATACAGAAAAGTTGAGTAACAAGAAAAACCCATATAACGACCATCTAGATTTCAAAATTAAAGTTTTTACCATATTTGCAAATGCGTGGTGCTCAGGCTTAGAAGTAGTTGGCATATTCAGGGAACAGAAAGGCTCTCAGTATGAGTAGACTTCTGTAATAAAGTCCAGAGGGCTGTGGTGTGACCTGAAGTTGGGCCCTGCTAAGGAATTTGGATTTTATTATAAGGGCAATGAAAAGTTATTGAAGAGCCTTAATCAGTGGGTTTTTACTGTTACCGTTCCCCTCAAATTCCCCCAAATACTTCTAATGAACTGCTGGTGATAAAAGAGGAAAGGGGAAATGAGAAAGGCAGATAAATCGTATGGTGAAAGGTCTTTTAACAATCTTAACCCTTGTTTAACCATTGCTACCTTTAGCTTGAGGATCTCCATACTCTTGGAATTCTCAGTTAAAAAACTCACACAGGTGCCTGTGTGTTTCATATCCTTCGAATTCCCAGAGTACTTTGAATGGTACTGCTTTCATATTGCTTGATGGTGGACCAGGCCCCCTTTTTTTCCCCATTTTTTGTTCAGATAGAGTGGGAGGGAGAGAAAGAGAGAGAGAGACATCAACATGAAAGGGACACATCGAGTGACTGCCACCCGCACGACCCAACCAGGGCCGGGGACAAACTGCAACCGAGGTACGTGCCCTTAGTGGGAACTGAACCTGGGTCTCTGGACCGCGGGCAGGTGCTCTAACTGCTGAGCCAAACCGGCCAGGGCGGACCAGGCCGTTTTGAAGGCACTTCTCCACCTCTGGGAAAAAGCAGTGTGGGCTGAAGAGTTCATTAGTGTTGCCTTAGCTATCATTTGAGCATTGTTGGATGGTCATTTTGGTTTCAACAAAGGGCTTAACTTCTGTTTCTTACAAGTAAGGATTGAAACGAGACTGAATGAAGCAAGAGTTGAAGCAGTGAAGCTCAACTCTTTAAAACTAGTTGTTTGTATTTGTTACCAAATCCTTTTCTTCCCTTTATAATCACTAGAATCAATTAGTGATTCATGAATCTGTTCAAACATGCATATTTTAAAAAATAAAATTCAACAAAATAGAAAATACCAATTTAGCTTTGTTGTGCATATGTGCACTCACACGTGTTTAATTAAATAAAGTTTTTACTTGTAGATCATGATAAAAGTTTGAAAAACACTGCTGGTCCTACTGACTCTATCTAGCTTTCACAATTAGTGGGATTAGTTAATTGGTAGTCTTACTTTTTTTTCTAGCTTTCCATGTAGTTGTTTTATGGATAGTACTTTTTATTTGTTAAGGATGGTTAATTTTATATTGCCCATTGATTTTTTAAACTTAGTTTTTATGTTTATCAAAATAATGCATGTGTATAATTGAAGGAGGCAAATAGTTACAAAAAGAGCTTGTAAGGGAAAAAAAAAAAAAGTTTTTTCCCCTTTATCTTAAAAGAAGTACCACCTTTTAACTCTTTGGATCTATTGTTTTGGGTATCTTTTCCCACAGCCTTAATGAGCATACTTGTATGACACATCCATGATTTCACCATATTACTCATAACATTTGCCTCAAGCTGCTTATGTTTTCTTTGTTACACTCATAAATTCAGTAACAATCAATACTCAGTAGCTCTGTGCATATTAAGCTAACATGTTTAATAAGAGCTCTGTTTCTTAAAGCATTAGTCTTCTCACCCTTTTAGCAATGTTGTCGGCACATGTATTGTCTGCCTACTTGGTCATCACTTAAAAGCCATTCATTAATATTAAACTTTTCTATGTTGCCAGTTATCTTAAAAGTTGGATTACTGAGTGGCATACATTAGTGTAGGATATTTAAGCTTAATATATAACAAACTTAGACATAAGAAACAAATCCTAAGGCAGAATTCTTAAGGGGTGTTATTTCCTTGTCTTTGCTTTGCAAAATTTTGACAGTTGAGTTGTGTAAGAATTGGTGAATTTGAGGACCTAAGTGAAAGAGAACCTACTGATTTTGAAAGTCATGTAAAATGACTTTCTCAAACACTGGTTTCTTCCCAGATTAGGATTTAGAAAGCATGTCTTCTAGTTGACATCACTTTCTTCTTACTTGCACCTGTGCTGTGTCCCCAGGTAAAGCAGGCGGAGCGCAGCAAGGCGCCTGTCGCCATGCCGTTCCCATTTGGGAAGTCTCACAAGTCTCCAGCGGACATCGTGAAGAACCTGAAGGAGAGCATGGCCGTTTTGGAGAAGCAAGACATTTCTGACAAAAAAGCAGAAAAGGTATGTATTTGGCATTTTTTACATTTTCAAACTTTTGATTAGGAGCAAATGTAGGACAAATTATGAGATGATTTTTAAAAATTAATAAATTCCAATTTGGGTTTTAACATAATGACATTTGCTGCTGCTTAAACACCATGTTTTCTCCGGTACTGCTGTCTACCAAACATATTTCTAACTTCTCTGTTTTTCATATGAGGTTTTCAAGTTTATTTAAATTTTGTGGGGTTTTTTTTTTTTTTCATTTTTGTTTTCTTTATTACACTCATAAAATCATTTGAAATGATTTATCTGATTCCTAAAAATCAGTGTTTCCACCAGTCTTCCTGGAGAGGTACCTCTCCTGGTTTTCTTTGTGTTTTCTGTATCCATGATGAGTATCTTCTTCTATCCAACCACCAAGCCCAAAACCTGCCTTGCATCCCAATCTCGTCTCCCCACTCTTCTCTAAAACGTCATCTTTCACTAAATACCATGAACCCCTACTTCCTGAGGGGTTTATAAATTGACTCTGACTTCCTTTCCTACTTAATGAAGATCCTCATGACCTTTCTTGTTTCTGAACTTTCTCCCTTGCCTTAACCTTCAGTGCAGACTGCTTGAGACATAAAGACCCTTGTGACCTGATCTCTCTTCTCCAGGTGAATTTCAGCACCTTCCTTATTCTGTGTGTCCTAGCATCTCAACTTGCCTCTGTTCATGGGAAGTAATAAAGCAAATAGTCAGCTATACTGTTTTTATGCCTTCATCTTGTTCTCCCCTAGTCCATTTCCACCTCAGCCCCATTCATCTTTCAGAACCCCCCATACATTTCCTTTTTGTTTGTTTGTTCTGAGTGCATGGTGATAAAAACTACGACAGCTAGTATAGTTTGGTGGCACTGCCTTGACTTTGGCTAAGGGGTCAGCAACTACAGTGCAAATGACAATATAGTGTAAAAGGGCAAATTATGTGTTAGTTTGATAGGAAAACAGTTTTGACCCCACGGAACCCCTTGAGAGGTCCACACTTTGAAATCTGCTATGATGGTTAATGAAAGGAATGTGTGTGTGTGTGTGTATGGTGGTGTCGGGTAGGGGGAGTGTCCTAATTTAGATGGGTTATATGGGAGAAGTCTTATTGAGGAAGTGACATTGGAGATGACTCCTAAAATGACAGAAAGCAAGCTTAGTTTCTGATGGCATTCATATCAACTACTTAACTAAAATCAGTGGTTTTCAACCAGAGGCAGTTTTGCCCCCCAAAGGGCCATTTGACAATGCTTGGAGACATTGTTGGTTATAACACAGTGGCATCTAGTTAATATAGGCTGGAGATGCTGCTAAATGTGGGATACTCCTCCACCCCCAAAATAATTATTTGGCCCAAAATGTCAGAAACTCCTGTTGTACACCTCAGCACAAATAGACCTCCTGCTATTAGGGTAAACAAGGCAAAAAAAAATAGTTGAATTTTTTAAAAATAAATTTCATTTCAAAGGAAGGGAGCAACTCTGAAGAGCAATCCATGCAAAAACTACTTATTCTAAAATGATTAATAGAGAGAAAACCTTGAAATTTCTGCTTCACTTTCTTATCAGGATTCAAAAGGAAGTTAGCAACTAATTCATATGGTGATGAGAGGGAACTGAGACCCGAAATAATGGAAAGATAAAAAATCTAATCACTAAATTAAAAATCATGAAAAACCACTTTAACATCATGCTTAAGACTGAAAAGTTGAAGGTAGTTTCATTAAAACCAGAGTGCTTGCTGTGACTTGTTATTTAGCACTGCTCTGGAAAGTCTACCCAAAGCATAAAGAAATAGCTTAGAAATAAAAAACACAGAAACACAGCTATTGCAAAGAAAGAGGGAAATTTACATGTTGAGATATACATATATCTTTGCAAAACACAAGAAAATCAATGTAAAAATCAGAGTTCATTAGGGCAGCTAAATAAATAGAAGATTCATAGCTTTTTTTTTTTTTTTTTTAATTTTTTTTCCTTATTGATTTGAGAGAGAGAGAGAGAGAAACATCAGTGAAAGAGGACATCAGTTGGCCGCCTCCTACAGGCCACCCACTGGGAATCAGGCCCACAATCTGGGCATGTGCCCTGACTGGGAATCGAACCGGTGACCTCTTGGTGCATGGGTCGACGCTTAACCACTGAGCCACACTGGCCGGGCTCATAGCTTTTTTAAATGCCAATCAAAACTATCTAGAAATTATTGTGTTTTTAATTGGTTTTTTTTTTTTTAAGAGAGAGAGGAAGGGTGAGGGAGATAGAAACATCCATGTAAGAGAGAAACATCAATCAGCTGCATCCTGCATCCCCCCCACTGGGGATCAAGCCTGGGCATGTGCCCTGACCGGGAATCAAACCGGGACCTCTCAGTCCATGGGACAGTGCTCAATCCACTGAGCCATGCCGGCTGGGCTAGAAATTATAATTTTTAAAACATTTCATTTTATAATAGCAACAAAAAATTATAAGATGTCTAAGAATACTTTCATCAGGAAGCATGCAAGAACCGATATGGAAAAAATTGTAAAGCCTTATTTTTTACACCACAGAATACTTGGCCCATATTATCAAATGGAATATAGTTAAGGTGCCATTTCTTCTCAAATTAATTTTTAAGCTTAAATCAGTTCCATTCAAATCACATGAGACCTTTTTGTAACTTGACAAAAATTATTCTGAAGTTCTGGAAGAATTAATAAAAATAGCTTAAAATTATGGCAGGATCTAAGAAATATGAATTCTACTTTGTTTTGAAGCAAAACACATACTTTATACATCTCTCTTCATCTTCCCCACAATGGTTAATGAAACTCCATCCTTCTAGTTGTTCAGGCCAAAGTCTTGAGTCATTCGTGACTCTTTTCACACTTCCCAAGTCCAGTTATGAGCAAACCCATCCACTTTGTCTTGGGGGAAAAAATTAAAAAGCCAGAATCTAACCACTTCTCCCCATTTTCCCAGTTGCCAACTTGGTCTGAACTGTCATTATCTCTTCTCTGGATTACTGCATTGACCTTCTATCTGGTCGGTCTGTCTCCTTCGCCTCCCTATAACCATAGTGATTCTTTTAAAACATGAGTCAAGTGATACTTTCCTCATTGTGAAAGTCAAAGTCTTACAAGGGCTCGAACTAAGTTCTACAGGCCAAATCTTGCCTAGACCTGTTTTTGTGAGGCTTGTGAGCTAGAAATGGTTTTTACATTTTCAAAGGGTTGGTTTAAAAAGCAAAGAAAATGCAATCTTACGTAGCCTGCAAAGCTTAAAATATTTACTGTCTGCCCTTTTACAGAAAAATAAATGCCGACCCCAGCTCATAGCCTCAGTGGTTCCTTCTCTTAATACTCCCCCAGCATTGGCTTCCTTTTCTCACACACTCCAGTTGTACTTTTGTCTCTAGGTTTTTGCACGTGACAGTTTCCTTTGCCTATAATGTTCTTCCCCTGCTCTCTGCTTGGCTTACTCCCTTACTGCTTTCAATTGTTTGCTCAGTGTCATCCTTGATCCAACAACCCCCTGTATAAAATGCCTCTGTCTGCCCTGGCCGGTTTGGCTCAGCGGTTAGAGCGTCGGCCTGCGGTCCTGAGAGACCCGGGTTCGGTTCCCGCTAAGGGCACGTACCTCGGTTGCAGTTTGTCCCCGGCCCTGGTCGGTTGTGCGGGTGGCAACCACTCGATGTGTCCCTTCACATCGATGTTTCTCTCTCTCTGTTCCTCTCTCTCCCTCCCACTCTACCTGAACAAAAAATGGAAAAATGTCCTCGGGTGAGGATTAAAAAAAAAAAATAAATAAAATGCCTCTGTCCTCTGGCATTCCTGGTCCCACTGATCGTGCTCTATTTTCCTATGTGGCATTTAACATAATATACTTAATAGTGTTTGTTTAATATTTTTGCCCACTGTTAGAATATCAGCCTTTCAAAGACAGGGCTCAATAATTATTTGTATTTCTTGAAAATGGAATACAAAGCAGAGTTAACATGAAACACTGTCTGTTACTTTAGGATTCTTCTGAACTATTAATTTCTATTGACTAGAATAAAACAGGTATTTGAGTATTGTAATGATTTGTATGATGAGTTTGTGACTAGTAAAAGGGTATCATAGCCAGGTATATTCTGAATTTTATGATGGTGACCAAGTATCACATTCCCTTTTAGTGCTACCACCCACAGAAGCAGTGAGATAAATGACCCTTCTGAAGAGGTCTACTGTTTTGGTCCTAGTATCTTCCATATAGTTTTGTGTTCATTAATTATCTTCCCCTGTAGTTCAAGGTGCTCAGAGGACAGGATGTTTTTTATGATTGCATGATTATTTATACCCAGTGGATCTGATTAGTGGATTACTCTGACCTTCCAGGTAGGGTTCCAGTGAACTGTTGCAGGGTACCATCCTGAAAAGGCTAGGTACAGATGGCTTCACTAGAGACTTCTACCAAACATGTAAGAAATCACAATTTCTGTACAAACGTATCTAGAAAATTGTTATGTTCTTACCTTATTTCATGAGGCCAGGATTATACTCATACCAAAACCAAAGATATTACAAGAAAACTATAAACTATTATCTTTCATGAACATAGATGCAAAAATTTTAACTGAATTTTAGCAAACTGAATCTAACAGAAGGATAATATATCATGACCAAGTAGAGTTTATTCCCAGAATGCAGGGCTAGTTTAACATTAAAAAATGAGTCAATATAATTTATAGTGTTGACAGATTACATCAGTAGACAGGGGAATAAAAAACCACAGCCTTCATTTTTTATAAAAACTCAGCAAACAAACTAGGAACAGAAAACTTCCTCACCCCAATATAAAGGGCATCTACAGAAATGCTGCAAGTGGCACTGCACATAATGGTGAAAGGCTGAATCGCTTATATCCAAGACCAAGAATAAAGACAGGGATGTCCACTTTCACCACGTCTATTCAACTTTGTTCTGGGAGGGTTTAGCCTGTGCAGACAAGAAAAAGAAATAAAAGGCAT